CCCCAAAACCCCAAAACCCCAAAACCCCAAAACCCCGGCTAAAATGCCACAGATTGAAACTTCCGAATAGTTTTAGGTAAAATATAGGTATTAGCACTGGGCTCAATGAAAATCCTTGTATTACGTCTTAAGGTCTTCCTAACTTATTTAAAATTCCTACATATTAGAGCCAGGAGTTACTTTTGGTGAATTCGTTCAATGAGCAAGTTTCTTCGCTTCTATTAAGGTTAGAGATTCAGGTTACCAAAGCTTTATTAAATCGATGGGATGTACTACTTTGACTTTTGCATATCTCAGCAACTTTAGGGAACTTAATACGCTCATTCGTGTTTATCAAGCTGATATTTTTGCTGTAAGAACCATTCCGATTCTCAATGGAATTATTACTTTCTTGTGTTTCTCTGAGTAATGTTATGCTCCCGATAACTAGACACATTATTCATAAAATTTACTCATTGGAAACATGGAGAATAGCATGTGGATAATTCACACGATTTTTATTAGTTCTTTTAGAAATTTGTTCGGAATAGTTAATAGTCTTTAAGCCACGAACATGCTTAGATTTCACCCCAGTTTGGAACTCCATTCCTATCTTATACTTCTCTCCATATTGATTAAATGAAAATTTTTGATTTCTTGTATCAAAGGTAGAGGACCTTTGTTCAATATTTGCGGTAATCTTAAAAGGAAGGTTATAAATCTTTGCCTTTGAACTATGAATTATTCCATGTATACTCACATTTGTACATCCTCCTGGAATGCTGAGCTTGTAGCCCCTATCCTGTCATATGGAGTTTCCAGGTTGATCCTTTCAAAAGAATTTATTGACATGTGGTAGTTCGGTTTGATATCTCCAGCCATTGAAACCTTGCAGCTACTAGATAGTTCTTCATCGATGGACTGAATGAGATTCTTCTTTTTCTGATTCTTACCAATTTTTGATAGGGTTATACCCTTCTTAGTCTTCATCTGTCTCATCGGAGAAGCAGTCAAAGGCATGGGGTCATTCTTTCTGGATTTAGGCTCCATGTAGAACATAGGACTTTTACTCAGAGTAGATTTTATCAAAGACTTTGATCGCTCTAAGTCCTTTGTGATTTGATTAGTAGTCTCAGATACCTTATTAATAGAAAATAGCCTCTTTCTACCCTTCTTCTGGCTCTTCAGGAAGGATTCTATCTTTTCAGAATTGATCAAATTGTGATCACCCTAGGAGTTTATTCAAGAGATTACTGATTTGTTAGAAGATTTTGGTTCAGCAAGGCTTAGTATATTCTTATTTTGGACCGTAAGCCAACTCTAAATGTTTAATGACATCAATTCACCTTCATATTTAAAATATTTTATCTGCTGATCTCTTGGGGCAGATTTTGATAATTTTGAAGTAGAGCTAGCTTTAGAATGCCTAAGCATTAAATGTAAGATTCTTACCCAAAATCTCTACGTAGAGTTCTCTGCACTTCAAGGAATTTGGAAGTTGTTTTACCTATGAATTATATGAGTTTTTACTAATCAAAAATAGTTTTTGCTTGACCAGCTGAAGTAGTCCTGGATGAGCAATATCGACCTTTCTAAAAAGATCTTCCTTGTTGATCCTATGATATACACCGGTGCTGGAAACACAAGTGACTGTGGAGGCATAGTAGGGACAATCTAGTACTGCCTCTATTAAGCCAACAGTCTCGTTACTCCCGATTATAGATATTTTCTCAGTTCTTTGTTTCTTATATTCTTTATGATTCTTCTTAAATCTCTGTAACTCGCTGTCTTCATTTGAAAATACCATCTGAGTGGCTTGATCAATCAAATTGAGGATCTCTGGTTTGCAATTTACTGTACTGTATCTCAAAAAATCTGCTTTGTACTTGTCTCTAATACCTTCAGTTCCCTTCTCAATGGAGTCTAGAGTTAATGTAATTTCATATAGATTAAAATAATAAGTAAAAACTTAAAACTTACCTTTTTCAAACCAAATAGTCTTGCTGACTTCGAATTCCCCTTCTTCAATGAAGTAAACAAAGTTAGCGTCTTCTTGCTCTTTCATGATCTCATTTCCACGCTTGACTTCACATTTGGAGAAGTACAACGCAAATTTTTCCAGGGCTAGCCTGGATATTTGCTTGAAAAATATGAAGTTTTCCATAAATCTGATCATTTTGACAAATTTATTTCCGCATAGCTTTTCCAAGCATCCGCTTGAAATCATCCTTGTTCATAGTGGCGAAGTGGGTCTCAGTGAGGGTGACAATGGTCGCAGAGCGAGGTGTATTGTTGATCAATGCTAACTCTCCAAAAGATGATCCATCTTTTAGATGGATCACATCGATTAAAGAGTTAAACTTGAACTCCCTCTCTTTGCTGCCCAACTCATCATCTTCAAAATCAGGAATTCGGTCATAGTACTTTTTACATTTATTTCTAGAAAATATGAGATTTTGTATTCATAGTTGACATAATGTGTATTTAACAATTTTTGGTTATCTAAACAGCTACTATGAAGGTCTTAAAACTTTTAGGCTTCCCACCTATTATGTAGCCTTGTTGTATTTACTCAAAGGTGAGGTATGGCATTGTTTAGCATCTATCGGGAATAAAAATTAAATTATATTTCTAACTCACACTAGCGTATAAAGATACATAAAGTGTAAAAATTGTCATAAAAGATCTTAAATAAGGCGACCGTAGTTCCTACATCTTGCTCGTTCTTATATCCAAGAATCTACTTTTGTCGCTTTATATTTAGAGTAGAAGTCATAGTAGTTTGAAATATCTGACAGCCTAAGCAGACATTTCTTGAGTCCCTTTTAAATACATCAAGCAGAAACGGTAAGGATCTTCTCCAAGACAGCTCTAAAAGACATCTCCACACAATAACTTCCATAAAAATCCTCAAAATCCTCCCTCTCTCGTACCCTCAAAGTCAATAAAATCCCTATTCCTCATATAAACCCCCAAAATCCCGAACTCGAGAGGCTAAAATCCCGTTCACATCCCACTCTTCACGTACAAATTCAGAGCTAACTTCTCTGCACTTTCCTTTCTGATAACAAAGGGGAAGTACTTATTGATCTCCGCTAGACATCTCTGAAGCAGCTCATTGTCAGTAATCCACTCGTAATCAGTCATTAAGAACTCAAGGATCTGTCTGAGAGTCCCTGCTCTTTGGATCTGGGCTGGCACCCGTACAGCAACCTATGGGATGAGGAAGAGCTTACTTCTCCTTTAAGGATTATGTAGAATTTTGAACCGATCTCCCCGTAATTAATGACTTTGTCGCCAGCTGGATTATTTCTGGTAATGCAGGACCTTACAGAGCATCCTTACAGTAGCTTCTCCATTTTCTTCCTTACACTTTTCAAAAAATTGGACTGCTCTATAAATAAATTTATTGATATTGTTACTTCCTGGTCTCAGACTTCGTACAGAAGTAATCATAAAGTACATTCAGGTCCTCTGGAGTCCTATCTATTGTTTTCTTCTTCAAGATCAAAGTACTGGCTAGTGCCAGTACTTTGATCTTGTGACGACTAAGAGTAGAAGGAGTCATGGAGACTTCCATGCCCTCTTCAGGGTTACTTTCCTTTTGTTCTTTATCAACAGCTATTGGGCTAACTTCTTTCTGCATAATTTTATTTTATAATGGACAAGTTGTTAGGAAGAAGGGGTTTTGGGGTTTTGGGGTTTTGGGGTTTTGGGG